TTTTATTCATGTTATTCCTTCGTCTCTCATTTTTTAAATATTTTTATTTTAATCCATAACTTTATTTATATTGTAATCTAATCCTTAACTCGTTAAAAGGAGAGAGAAACAAAGAGAGAGGAGGGAGGAGAGAGATATCTATGCATGGATTTTTTAATAAATTTTTAGAATCTTGTTATTTGCTTTTTGGAAAAAAATATTATATAATTTATATGATAAATTTTTTTAATTTTTAAATGATAACGACAAGGTTATATATATCAAGATTAATAATGTTGTTTTGGATAATTTGTTTTGGAAAAAAATATAAGACAAGTTTTTAGTAAAAACCCATGGTTTTTTGAATTTTATTATAAGTTTTTAATTAAGAATCCGAATGTAGAAAAATAAATTGTGTTTTTTTATCAAAAAAAGTACAAAAAAAAATAATGAATAATTAGTTAAACACATAATTAAAAAAAAAATTGCTTTTACCTTCGATTTTTAATATATTTTAATATATTTACAATATAAAATGTACTATCAAACTAAAATTGTTTTTTAAAATAATTTTACATGTTCTATCCGATTCGTAGTATAGCACGGATAAAAAACTAATATTATCTATTCTAGATATTTATTATCTTTTTCAGAGTTTTTTGGTCTTTTTATAGCATATCGGCCTAAAGTCCATTCATTTTTTTTATACCAAAGATAGAAAGTAGAATCGAAAGTGAAAGTGTAAAATTATAAAAATTCAGTGTGTTAAATGTAATGGCACTTAAAATAGCGAGGGTGATATCGGTAATATCAGTAGCGTTATTATATCTCTTAAGTCTCCGGCGCCGCTGAGCACTTGTCATTTGGCTATGATATCCCTTTTTTGGGGTTTTTTTTTCGCGTCCAGCATCAGCTGCTCTTATATCATCAACCCAAAACCGTTGATAACATTAAGTCATGGCCTCTATATTTAATGGTAGAGTTTGTATTTTTTGAAGGATTATTCAGCATATTGAAAATGGATTTTTTTTTCTTTTTTATATAAAAACATAGAAAAATTATTTTTTATTATGGATTTTATGTTTTTACGAGAGAAAGGAATAGAATTTTTAACATATCTAATAAATTTTTGGTTTTCATAGTTATTACATGGCTCCTAAATTGCTCCATTCTAGACGAGACGAAGCGAAGCAGTATATTCCAGTTTCTTCCATCTCTTCCCTCTTCTACATTTTGAAACCAAGATCATACTATTATAATCTTTATAAAAAGATGTGAATTTTAAATTTTGGTAATTGTATACATATTATAAAACTAAATTTCAAATTCAAGTGCTATAACCCTTCAAACACAGGGGAACAATCAGCTGGTAGCAGGGATGAGTCCAGAATTAGGACTTGGGTGCTTGGAACGACCTGAATGCAATATTTTTTATTTTTTATTTTTTATTTATCTTGGATGGCCATTTCATTAGAATTTAATTGAAAGTTTCGTATAACCAAGGGGAATTTTGAATCTTTTACTGGCCTTCCTTTAGCTTCGTCCCTGGTTGCAAGTTTCCCTTCTCAGTTCTCATCAAGTTTATAAACAGAGCTTGTTTCTATTTAGCTCTAGGCTTATTCCAGTGCAAGTTTTGACAGTATAAACTTATCTCTTGTGTTCCTTTTGCTTTTTTCTAGAAAAGAAATAAATAAAGGTTAAATGAACCGAATCTCTTCTGAAGTTTAAGTTATTTGATAATCAGTTTTTTAACTTTCAATTTTGAGTTTGGCCTCCATTCCACTATTTGTTTTTATTTGAAATTAAAATTTTTTATTAGGTTATTATCCATTTTAACATGTAAGTGTAATTCTTCATAAGCAATTACAGAACATCTTAGAAGAAAATAAATTAGTTTTGAAGAAAAAATAAAACATCCATAAATTTTAACATATTTTTAACTATCCAAAAGGTTAAAAAGTCACTTACAAATCACGTATACTCGTCATCGTTAAAATTGATGTAAATTTTTTCTAAAAACCTAATTTCAAATTTAAAAATAATTAGAAGGATGTTCGATATGAAATTAGAAGTTAAGAGATCGATTTTTAAATGACTTCAAATTTAGAAAAGATTTATACCATTTTAACCATAAATAAATGAAGCAAATTTCATGAGTATCATGAAGTGCTTCTTTAGAAGTTAAATGGATAACAACATTAACACAGTTTTTCCACTCCTCATCATCTCTTCTCTTTAGAAAACAATGACAATAATCTTGTCCATTGTCCACTAAGTCTATTGATTGCTGTAAGAGGTTTTGAGAGTGGAGAATTGAGGTGGAAGAGATTGGATCACTTGCCTTACCAATAAGGACTCTAACTAGTTCTCCTTCGTATCTTTCAACTTGTGTAGCAAGATCGTAATTTCAAGATATAATCATGAACACCATTGGCACCATCGTAGTTGGTGGTTGTGAGCAAACTTAATGATTTTTTTAGCTTGTCAAATACTGTGAATTTAGTTTCTTACTCCAAGAAAAGTCTTGGTATCCTAAATGGTACACATCTCTCATGAATTTTAAAATCATTTAAAAATTAATCTTTTAACTTTTAATTTCGAATTGGATCTTTCTTCAATTATTTTTCATGTAAAATTAAGTTTTCTTTTTTCTTAGGTTTTCATAAATTTTAACAATATGTGACTTACACATAAATAACTTTTTAACTTTTTTAACAACCAAAATATGCTAAAAACTATAGATGCTTTAGGTTTTCTTTTAAAATTTGTTTTTTTTTCCCTTCTAAAATGTCCCTTAATTGCTAACTTCTTAGCATTTAAAAGGGAAGAGATAAGTTTTGGGGCAAAAAAAAATTATTTATAAGTTTTGATATATTTTTAAGTGTTAAAGGATTGTGCTTGCGTATTAGAATCGATGAAAACTTAATAAAAAATATAATTTTAAATGAAAAATAATTGATAATAGATTCAATAAAAAATTAAAAATTGAAAAACTGATTTTTAAATGATTTGAAATTTATGAAAGAAAAATCATAAATAAAAAAAGAGTAAATTATAAATTAGCTATTCTAGTTTTGAAAAATAAATCAATTAGTCTTCTTTATTTTACAAATTAATCATTGAATTTTGATTAGTACCGACCACGCTTAATTTAATGTTATTTTATTAAAAAAAAAATTTCTCATCAATTTTTCCAAATCGTCTAGCCTAATCTTAATCTAAGTGGATTTCGATCACGCGAGTACGGCAGTAGTTCCCTACTGCATTGGTGTTTTCACTTCCCACTCTCCACCATGAGAAAATATTTCCACTATAAAAAAAAATAAAGAGTAAAAAGAACATAAAATAGAGAAAAAAATTAAATATTTAGTTTTTGAAATGAAAAAAATTGATTAATTTATACTAGTTTATAATTTACTCAAATATGAAACCATTTCAATACTCGTATACTACAAACATATCTAATGTATGTAACAAAAATCACGGCTGTCAAAACATATTATTTTCCAACTTCTTACATTATTTCGCTTATGGGTTCCGAACCAAGACATGTAAATTGAATTAATAAAAGAACACAGTAAGTGAATGCAATTAGAAAAGCATGTTTTAGTAAGCTGGTCACCTACAAGACGACCAAGTTTTCCGGAAAAAAAAATATAATTTAACAAAACTTTTTATTACATAAATAATAGTTCATCCTAGTAATTATTTAGTAATTATTCATCGATAATGTAAATATTATCAAATGCGGATCCTAAAACACCAAAAATAAACAATCACAGTTAGAAATGGTTTATTGATATATGAACCCAAATATAAGACAACTTAAATTTATGTAAAAGATTAGCCACATAACATGTGAAAGCATAATTCTTAAAAAAATTAAAAATATCAAACATAGATAAGCGATCGAGAGAAACAGAAGGTGATGTGTTATTTAAGTAATAAATTTATAATTATGATATTTATATTAAATGATGATATGACAAATTGTTGAAGATGGGATACTAATGAGATGAAAAAAAAATAGCAGGAATTTTCTAAATTTCACAAAAAAAAAAAAGAATATTAATATATACAGATTGAAGGGGACACATATCAACACATGGAGAATGTTGACATAACCTAATAACTTAATAACGTAACATAACCTAATAATTTAACAATTATTTTCTTCTCTAAATTAAAAAAGAAGAAGAAGTAATGTTGCATTTTATATTATTTCAAAAAAGTTAATAAAAAGAAGAAGAAGAAGAAGAAGAAGAAATAAAGGGAAATTTCCAAATTTCATAAAAAAATAAGAATAATTTTTCACCAGCATGTCAACAAATGAAGAAGGTTGCTGGATGATGAAAAGGATACTATTTTTCGATCAAATAAAGACCCAACTAAAACGAACTTGAAAACAGAGAGGGGGCATTAAGAAAAATAAAAATAGAGAAAACAGCTGGTGAAAAATCAAAAGTCAGAAAAATCCCTAGAAGCTTTTATAGAATAATGCTATATTTAATGGGTGGTAGTGGTAATTTAGCTCAACTTTTATGGTTGTTTATTTTACGTTTCTATTCGTTCCATGTTCGTTAAATTTTTTATTTTTCAAAGCATTACTTGTAGAAAAATTCTTCGTATTATTGGGATAAGAACAAAGCAGCCCACGGCCCAGGAAAATATTTCGGCCTATAGCAAACCCAAATTTTTGTGGGCCAGAGAAGATACATCCACAGCACAGTTTATTAAGTAGCACAAATAGACATCAAATCCAAACTTCCTTACATATATATCTATATATATATATATTACTTAAAACCCTAGCTCTCCTCTTTATCGTCATCACTCCTTTAGGGTTTTCAAACAGGAGTGGCAGCGCAGCAATCCAAGCAGGTCTCAAACCCTAACCTCTCTCTCTCTATGTCATGTCTAGACAATAATTCTCTGAGCCTAGTTAGTATTAGATCTCTTATTGAATAGTTTACTTTACCTGGCGTTTTCATTTCTTGTGTGCTTTTGTATTTGCAGAAACAATGGCTGTTCCTTTGCTGACGAAGAAGATCGTGAAGAAGCGGCTCAAGCAGTTCAAGAGGCCCCAAAGTGACCGCAAGATTTCTGTGAAGGTACATATAATAGCTGGATAGATGCTTAGGATTGTCTTATAGAATTACCATGGCTAGTTAGGTTACTTGTTAAGGCTTTGGTCTGTTCTGTTCTAAGGTGTATTTAGGATGTGCCCAGTACTATGTTGTGCTTATAAAGACAGATCTAGTAGTCACTCAATCTATTGTAAAGGATATACTAGTATTAAATTAATGTTTTTGTGAGTTAAATATTTAATGTTCACTTCTAAATTACCAACAATTTAGAATTCGGACTAAGCAGTGATTTTGTTTGGTGGCACTGGTTTGTATCTCAATGCTGTTTATGAGCTTTTTTGGCAGTAATTTTTATGTTATTAATTACTTAAGTCATGCTTGGAATTCCAGTAATTGTATGTTTTCTTTCAAGTTTAATTTGTTTTGTAGATGTCTGAATTATATAGAATTTAAATTTTAAGTCTAATGATCCGTGTACAATAAGCCGATGCTCTGGATTGACTTGATGAAGGTAGCATGGTAAGGTACACGGAAATTAACTTTTAAGGTCAACATGTCTGCTCCCTCTCATGTCTCTCTTTGGAGGCTTTGATTTGGGGGCCTGGTTTAGACCACATTTTTCTAATTCTGATTGCTCTCAAACCAATGGGTCCTATCCTAAAATTGGGAGCTCAATAACAGTAGTTCTATTAGTATTTTGTGTACTGGTCCTCAACAAATTTATCTATGTTTAGATCCATGATTGTTGTTTTTTGTTAATTGTGCCTGATAATCTCTATGAAATTATTACCAGGGAAGTCCCAAGACCAAAATAATGAAATTGATGTCTAACATTGTACTGCTATTGAAACTTACTTTCTAAATGGTATTCTTATGTCCAGGTCACATATTATCAATGCTATTTTTTTATGTTCTTTTTTTTTTTTTTTGGTCTAGATCTTGCAAGATGCTTTTCATGGCTTCTTGATGTCTCTTGCATGTTATGCTAAATGCTTTTTATTGTTGGTGGTAGACAAACTGGAGGAGGCCGAAGGGTATTGATTCAAGGGTCAGGAGAAAGTTCAAAGGATGCACTTTGATGCCCAACATTGGTTATGGTTCAGACAAGAAAACTCGCCACTATCTTCCTAATGGATTTAAAAAGTTTCTTGTGCATAACGTAAAGGAGCTTGAAATTTTGATGATGCACAACAGGTACTTGACTCTTATCTCCAAATTTTTGCTGGTTTCACAATCAATTTTGTTCTGGTATGCAGATCTGAATATTTCTTAAATATTGCTAACAAATTCTCATAATTCTAGAACTTACTGTGCTGAGATTGCCCACAATGTATCCACCCGGAAGAGAAAGGAGATTGTCGAGCGTGCAGCGCAGTTGGATGTTGTTGTCACCAACAAACTTGCTAGGTTGCGCAGCCAGGAGAATGAGTGAAAATTGGTTCTATGTTATGCTTGTTTTGCTTTTGCTAAGATACTCCTTGCATTAGGCAGTTTCAGTACCTTGAGTTGACTATTTTTATAATTATTGTCTTTTGATTGAATGGTTTTAATTTTGAATCAAAATCAGTTTACTATTATACTTTTATGTCCTCTGTTTTCTATGTTTTCACGGCTTATTCTTAGGTGAATTTTGTCGATGATGTTAAATATTGCGAGAAGTAAAGTAAAAGGTTTGGTAACTGAATTTTTCAGTAAATCACTTGCTGAACGTTCTTGCACCGAATACTTTTACATGCCATAATGGAAAGTAATGCATAGTGACATGATGTTACTGTATTCTTAAGGTAACTCATGTACAGTGCATAGTAAACCTTGGTTCGAAGTTACTGTCAAAACTCATCAGTGATTATCGTTGGAACAATTTTATAGTAGAATCCTGTTATTTTTATGGAGTATAATGTTTTCATTTGCTGGATGGGTTAATTGTAATTTAGTGTGTATTTTGGGTAAGCTCTTTCGTTAAAAGTTCTAGATGTCAAGTGATGACTGTATGGGATGAACCAAAGGGCAATTTATTTTTGAAGGCATGCAATGTCAGTTAATGATCAACTGGATTGTAGATTTCCCGTTCTTTAGTGGAAAACAATTGTTTTTTCTTGCTAGCTTGAAGTCGACCTGACATCCTTAAGTTCTTGATGGTTTAAAAAATTATAGAGATTGCAACGATAGTGTGGTGTCCATAATGGTTTGGCAGCCGCAGGTTTTAGTTAATTTTTCAATCATGTGCATTTTTTTTTAATTTTCTTTTGTTTTAAAATATTCATGATGATATGAACACATACCTTATTGTAAAAGATCAATGAATAAAAATTGTTTGATAAAAAGAAAAGAAAAGATCAAATAAATTAAATAGTGAAGATGCGATAACTTAAAATCGTGGAAGAAAAACACATATCTTACTTATTGTAGAAGATCAATGAATAAAAGTTGTTTGATAAAAAAAAGGATAAGATCAAATAAATTTAATCGGGAAGATGTGATAACTTTAAATCGTGGAAGAAAAAAGCCAAAAAACTATGCAACGGTTGTCACAATCAAGGACGATGACTTCACATGATGATCCTAATTGGAGTAGTTGCATGGCATTGATGAAAAAGAAAGCGTTAACTTTTTTTGAGGGATAGTGATGTGGTTTACTTAGCTAAATTCCAACTCTCTTTATATGGTAGGAGTTGAGTGATATACTTGAACACCAGTTAAGAAGCATGAACCACAAGTATTGTGTTGGACACCTCTATATCAATTTTATGAAATATCACGGGTCTAGCAAAGTATTAAAAGATCATTTATGGAATGCTGCTGGAACTGGTACTGTTTTAAACATCATAAGAAAGAAATAAAAGAATTAGATATTGCAGCATGTGAGTGGCTGATGAAGATTACGTGTGGAGACATAGTGTCGACATGCAAGAAGAATCAGATGTGACTTATTGCTCAACAATATGGCTGAAACCTTCAACTCATATATATTTGAAGCCAAAGATTTCAACTCATATATTTTTGAAGCCAAAGAACTTGAGGTCCGTCACAGCGATGAGAATTCCACAATCTAAGACCTTGAGATAAGAAATGAAACATGACTCGCATACCTTGCCATCCTGCTATTGCTGCAATTCAGAAAAAAGACTTGCAACAAAAGGATTACATGCATGATTGGTTCAGATTTTTTTTTCCCCCTCAAAGCCTATTAAGTGCAAAAAAAAAAAAAAAAAAAAAAAAAATTCCTGTTCAACCACCAAATGATTGGTCTAGTACCTGTTATGAACTTGTGAAGCCACCCTTCGTAAAAAAAACAAGCAGGCAGGCTAAATATGGCAAGAAAAAGAGAAAAACAGAACCTCAGCCTTCAAATTCTTACAAGACCAGTAAAGGAGTGATCATGACAGATAGCAATTATAAACAAAAAGGCTATAAAATCAAGACATGTCCCTTATCAAGATTTGTCAATGCCAATGAAAAAGCAAAAAAGAAAAATAAGAAAGTCAAATAAAGAGACGTCAAGAAAAACTGAAGCTTCAAATGAGAAAACATCACGGCCACTAACATAGTCATCAACATTTTATCAATCTCAAGGTAGCAGACATATACACAACTCATTCTCAAGAAGCTGAGCCGAGAAAGAGAGGGAAAAAAAAAAAAAAGCTAACAAAGGTCCAACCAAATAGAAAGTAAGTTGGTACCTACAATGACCTACTATAATTTTTTTTTTAAAAAAAAATTTATAAGAGAGACTAATGTCAATGACTTGGCCTTCCCAAACTCTTATGTGACACTTGATTCACTTTTTTTCTAAATCAAATTAAGTCAATCTTCTCCATGCAAAGTTGTTAAGCAAGAAACATACACACAAGAAGTATAAGAACTCTTTGTATTGCTCTCTCTAAAGCTTACAATTCTAAAATTACACTTTCTTAGATTTCTAAATATCTTGACCAAATGAAGGCTTCATCTATTTATAGTCTTCCACCTCCTCAATGGATGGCTAGGAGTTATTTAATCTAATAGCTACAATTGATTATTTAGAATTATCCTATCTAAATATTTATAATGAACTATATCGATATGTACAAGCTAGAATAACGAGGGACTCTCTAGAATTTTCTATGACATGTCTAGATTTCTCCGGGATATCCTAGAGGTTTCTCCATTGTTTCATAATCTTCAGAGACTTCCAAACTTATCTAACATTCCCAATAGCCTCTAGAAAAATTCATCTTTTGAAAAGGATGTAACACTAAGCTCTACACAAAAAATAATCTCGTTACAAAAATATGAAAAAGCAACTCCATAAATATTTTCTTGAAGGAGGTTACTATAACCTACTAAAGTATGCTTCGGATACAAAATACCTAAAGGAAATGAGTAAACATACGAAGCAAGCCATTCAACCAAATGGTTGGCTACTCTAAAAGTATGAGTAACTCCGCACTTGCTAAGGTTTTTAAAGAAAACCGCAAATAGTGAAGATCGATTGATGATCAAGCCCACGATGACCCTTAGAAGACAAGATTAACTTGATTGCAACAAAGGACTCGATTCTAAAATAATTTGTCGATATCTTAGATTCCAAGCCATTTTCAAACCAACTACGATGCTCTAAATTTTTGCAAATAGAACAATATAAATCCCTATCCGATAGGAGAAACCATGTAACCAAGTTGCTACATCATCTATAAGAATTTACCCAACTATAGCAATGTCTATTGATGCTCAAAGTGCATCATATGTATTGAGTTTTACCTATCGTGACGTAGTTTAACCTAACCAATCAAAGTTTCAAACTTTCTCTCATATGGCTTGTTTAAAAAAGAGGTCATCACAAAACTAGCAAGCAATGTTATTACAAAAGATATGAAGTAGGCATAATGAAATTTTCATCAAAAATGAATTTGTTTGTCCAAGACCATATAAACCAGCAATAAACTTCAAATCATATCCTCCAAGCCACTCGTCTTTGGATTAGCGTAAGTAGATTTTTCCAAGTTTATACAAATCCATTCCTTAAGGTCAAGAAAAATAAATGATGAACCATATTTTCTCGCTCCCATTTCATTCTATATAGTAGTTGTAGTATGATAATCTTTCGAACATGAATAATTATTTAATGATTTTTATGTTAGTGGGCATAAAAAAGGTTAGATGTCTAGCCCCTACGCATTCTTTGCATGTTGGTGAGAAGTTGTCTGTGGATTGTATGCCACAAGAATGTGCGAATGCATTAAGGCCCTTTCCATTACCACACCAAATCTCATTTATCCAAGTTATATATAGACTTTATGGAGAATAGTCCATTATCGAAGAGGGTCTAAAACAAATGTCTTCTTCTTAAGATGGAGATAGAGGAGGCATACCTATAATTTTAAAACATATTGCATTGAAAAGTAAATTACCAAAACTCTCCCACAACCACTAGCCCTTACTCATGATATATTCTCCAACCTTGCACGTGGTGATCTCGACTGGAAAAGGTACCAAGGCATGATCTTTAAGAGGAACAAGAGAAGGGATCTAATTATCCGTCCAAAAGCCAATCTTCTCACCATTATCAATCGATCACCCTATATATTTTCCAACATCATTCTAGGCCTTGAAAAGCTTTCTCCATATATTGGAGCAACAAACACGTGAGATAGAATAAGGCATTTATTGAAGATCAACCTTATACTTACTACACCAAATTATAACCCAAGTAGGAAGTTTTGGCAAATATGATTTTTCATCTTATTTTCATCAAGCAAAGCATTATTCATCGTTGTCAACTTTTATAAACCAAACCCATCATGTTTTTTAGGCCGACGGATGTTTTCTTAAAATACTAGATGAGTTTTTTTTTATAACTATCCGAACTACCCCGTACAAAATCTCAAGCAAAGCTTTTCAATAACCTTAGTAGTTGCTATTGGAAAATGAATGGTCTCGCATGCTATAGATAGGAATGGTAGTAAGAACTAATTGAGTTAGAGTCACTCTACCTGTAAGTGTTAAATGTGTAGCCTTCCAACCTAACAACCTCCTACAAACTTTTTCTATAACACGTTCATAAGTGTTCTCGCTGACTTGGCTATGATGGAGAGGCACACCTAAGTACATTCCCAAGTCAAGTCGAGAAGTCCGGCTTTCCCTCTTAGGACATTACAACTATAAAATGCCGAGTTTTAGAAACACTAACCTTTTGACCAAAAGCTAAGAAAAAAATTATCGAGAGCCTCCAAGATGATATTCAACCGGTCACATTCTACCTTTACATAAAAAATCAAGTCATCCGCAAATAACAAATGTGTAATTGATGGTCCACCGTTGCTTCAGTATATCGATCTTTTTTTTTTAATCTTGAATAGTAGTTTGAATTAGATGACTCAATCTTTTCATGCATAGCATTAACAAATAGGGTGATAATGGATTCCCTTGTTGGATGCCGTTGGTTAGTTTGAA